TCTCATTTCAATCCTATAAAACTTGATACTCATGCTGCTAGCTAATGTAAGATTCATTAATAATAGAAAATCTTTAGCACTATCATATTTGATTTTATATTTATTACAGGAACATAGTGAGAAGAATATCATTAGAAGTGTTCACTAGCAGTCAAGGGGAGGTACATAGAATCATTATAGTCTATCATAAGACCCTGCCACGATGCTCTATTCACTAGCCCCCTCATATTATCCTGCTGCCCTTCCATAAGACAAATACAGACATTTCTACTATTTATTTGGCCATCCAAAGAGAACTCATGATAACCCTCTCCCTGATATCCTATGCAATATATCTTGACAACAATCTCTAATAAGGAGCTTCCCACTTGATGTATATCCTTAATTGATCAAGCAGGGCATGTTTTGATTTACGGATAAGGATGATGACTTATGCTGGAAACAAAAAGTGATCAGGTCTTTTTCAAAGATATTTTGTTCAACTTGCCAGATTAGGCCATGGCTTTGGGATTTTCTGATTGTTTCTCATTCATGTACTAATCAGATCCAATTCTGGGTAACTTAGGTAGGTACTATAATGGCTAGTTCATTTTTCATTTCGTAAGTAAAAGTGATTCTACCTATCTCACTCACTTCCATGCTATTTTCCATAAAAATATCTTTCTACTATTATCTGAAGTTTCTGTAGTTAATTATTTTGATTTAAGTTGTCCCTTGGAGTACATTATATCGCCTAAGCTTTTCAACCTCTCCAGGAATCACTGGGAAATTGAAAAGGTGCTTTTAAGGGTATTTTTATGATTATCAGCTATGTATTTTTCTTCTATCATATTCTGAGAAGGCTGAGGAGGTTCTACATGGATGGTGAGCTAGATAAAGTGAAACAAACTAAAAACAAATTTGGATGAAACAGAAATGTCGTTGATATGAGTCCAGCCAATACTGTAGTTGAATTTCACTCACTAAGGATAGTGTTTCATCCCATTAAAAATCAGGTTTATAATCTGGGACGACTACTATACTCAACTTTGCTATGAAAATATATAGGCATTAAACAAGTTTTGCTGATGAGTCAGCTGAATGCTTTTCCTGGAATGATCAGATTTAGCTGTGACTTTTTGTTTGTTTTACTTTAATGCAAATCAGTTGAACTACTGTAATATAAATTGCATGGAGCAATGCTTAAAACCAGGTTGAAAGTAAACAGGTTAGTTCAGCTTAATACTATTGAAATATACTAGTAAATACAGTTCAAGATGCTAAGTTATTACCACTGAAGATTTAGGAGTAGACAATCTGAAGGACATACACGAACTAATTCAGTCTTAAATTTCAACCATTATGTTTCCATTTATTTATTTATTTATTTATGAGACTTATATACCGCTTTAAGTGCAAGCACTCTCTAAGCAGTGTACACCAGTAAGCAATGTATATATATATTTACATTGCCCCCAACAATCTGGGTCCTCATTTTACCTACCTCGGAAGGATGGAAGGCTGAGTCAACCTTGAGCCGGTGAGATTTGAACCGCTGACCTGCTGAACACAGCCAGCTAAAGTGGCCTGCAGTACTGCACTCTAACTGCTGTGCCACCTCGGCTCATTCTTAGTACACTGTTGCCTTTTGAAGCATCTTTAATGGCAGCATATTAGCTGTCTATCTGATATAGCTTGCCGGGTGATTGGATCTTAATAAATGCTTTCTTCTTTTATTGCGTCTTGGATTTATTAATTCATTTGTTGTATATTAATGGCAGGGGTTTTTTGTTTTTGTTTTTACATTTACTTAGATATTTATGTTATTGAATGGTTGGCATGGCACATTTAACTCATGGTCATGGGTAAAATCAGTGTGTGATATGAACAGTCAGAAAAGGAGCCAGAAATGGAGTTAGGGAGACAGTTTAATCCGCAGAAGTTTTGAGGGTTTTTTAAAATTAAAATCTTCTCTCCTAGATCAACCATATAATATCCAAAGTGCGCCATCTAAGAAAAGCCAGTCCCTTTATCTTTGCCCTCACTGCCAATGTCTAGGTAACCAGGAAACACAGCTCTCATCCTCTTGGCTTCAACAACTAACCAAACCAACCCCTCCTTTAGGAGCTACTTGCAGAGATTTTTCCTGCAAATTTTTATATAAGTTGACAAAAATACTTGTAAAAACTTTTTTAACACTTACAGTGCAGCTATGCCTGAGCTAAGCATTTTCACCCAGCAGGATAACAGAGCCCCTTCTTTAGTACAGCAACTGTTCTTTGAAAACTTCCCTGTATCTCAATTGCCTGAACATTAACCATATGTTAGAAAGAAATAATCTGAGATGCTACAAGCTAAATGATATTCTTCTAGAATAAATGATAGGAGAAAGGCCACTGACTTGAATAATCTCATCCAGGTAAACATCTAATCAAAGACTACAAATCCCACAGTCCACATTTCCTAAAGCGAGGTTATTGCAATGAATTCTATGTTCACCAATAAACAACACTTTATATTTCTTAAGTAAATATCTCCAGTGCTTTTTTTCTAAAAAAAAAAAAAAAAGTGCCAGAAGTCACATATGTCATACAACCTGCCTTGCCTACTCCACAAGGTTCCATCCAAAAAAGGTGGTGGAACTCCGTTCTGGGTGTTCTATGAGAAAAAAAGCCCTGGATACCTCCAAACACACCTTACAACAAACTTTTATCTTTCTATAGAGAGAAATCTCCCAAAATATGCAGATTATTGTTACTGAATCCTAATATGTGATTTATTGGACCCATATAATGGAGGAAACATTAAAAAAAATATTGTATTATCTCCAATCCTTTACATTTTTATTATTATTGGAATGTAAACTATTCATTTAAAACACCACTTTCGGTTAGTTTCTAATGCCAAATGTTCCATTTCAAACTTAATTGGCATTTCTCAAAAAGCTAAAGGAAAAAGTTCAAAGAAGTCATTTTTAAAAACTGAATCTTTGTACAGTATTCTGTTTTCAACATCAGAAGAACTATTTCTGATGAATTCGTGCAAAGTAACTTTATTTCTGAAAGATGTCATAAAAAGCTTATATTGGGATATCTATGTCTATTTTTCCAGTTTTGTTGCAATTCTATCTTTTAAAACCCCCCTCTAGAAGAAAAGGGAGTTGGCTGTTTACAATTTCCAGCATTTATGTATTATACAGACAAGAAACTTTTTTTTTGGTGATAGTTTTTCAAAGTTTATTAGAAAAGATCTTAAATTAAAACTGACCCTTTGACCAAATTTCCTTCCACCAAGTCTCTTCAAGTTTTCTTCTAAAAATTTTCTGGGGAAAGGCAAACAATTATTTTCATTTTCTATTCAGTATATAAATGAGCAAGGATTGGCAAGGATAAAAGAACTTCACTCAAAAGCCCATTCATCTCCTGGTGATTTACTAGACCATCTCTGTCCTCCACTGGAATTTAGCTCTGGTATCATTTGGAGAGACACCTAAAATTTAAAACTACCCTAGATTACTCATACAGTTTGATACAGAGATTCATACTAAGAGAATATTTCCAAAATCACTTGCTAAATTAAAGCAGATCCTCAGATAATAAGCAAATCACAGTACAAAGTTCCAAATAGATCTGTACAGTCTGTCAAGGCATGTAGTCATAACAGTGGTTCATTACTGATTAAGCAGGAGAGAATATGCAATTATAAGTTTTTGTTGTTGTTTTTTTTTACAAAATTTAGTTGAGTAAGTAGTTCTATTATGTTTCATTATCGGGCAATTTGTGGTCACTTATATGACTTTCTGAATCCTTTCTTCCTGGTTCCACTTGTACTTGTCAGGTGTCCTTCTATAGGTGGATTATCTTTAAAAACCCAACATTTAGCAAGTAATCTTGCTTTAGTGACTAAACACTTAGAACTCAAAATAGAAAAAAAGCTTTTCCAAATCCATTGTAAAGAAATATTGCTAGAAAACATAACTTGGCAGAAAAGCATACAAGCATTTCTCCCAAGATAGACATAGCTCTGTGCAGACAGTTTATTGCATTTCCCAGAGACTTAGAAGTTTACTTAATAAGCAACAAAGCCAAAGACTGTCAGTATCTCATTTGTAGGCTTCAGAAAATTGAAAAGTACACATTGACAGTAAGGCTGCTGAAGAAATGATTTGTTCAGATCATACCTTGCACAGAATATTAACTTTCTATCTATGTACTGGGTGACTCTATATCAAATTTCATTTGCAGGACAGAATGTGTGGATGTATGTATATAATCTGATAGTGTGCACTCCAGAATAAAGATCATACGCACATCCACAACTGCAAATCCTACATTTTACCAGATTTTCTTTTTCATTGCTAAATAATGCATTCTGCGTACTCTCCGTGTATTAATAGAACTTTTAAATAATCTTGGTAGCATCCCAATGTCATCTCACCTTTATGCTCTTCAAAAATACAAATACAATAGTACCAACAAGGTTATTTTTCTGTTGCAAAACACCCAGTAAAATAAAACTGGTCCATGCTTTAAGGTTTTGTTTTGAAATCAAATGCAATGTATAACAAAGCCAAGTACATTCCCTATTCTTCTGGTGTAAGGTTTTTTTTGTTTTTTTGTTTTTGCATTGGAGTACATGAAAAATTATTAGTGCTGGATGAGCACTATTGACATAAGAAACTGTTTTGCTTAATCACAAATGCACTGGGTCATTGCAGAGCTTGGAGTTTTCCTCTTGTTGACTAAGAAGATGAATGGACTTGACTAACTAGCAAATGACCCAGAATCAAAGTCTCTTAAGCACCGTTTCTCTCTTTTTCTCTCAGTGTATGTAGGAGAGAACAGAGAGAAGCATTGTGAAAGGGAGGGAAAGGGAAATAAAAGCTACCCTAGTTATCCGCACAACAGAAGATGCCGTCTGAACTTCCAAGCAGGGAAAAGATGGAATGAAAAGCCTGGTTAAAAATTCACCTGAACTGCTTCTCATACCCAGTTCCAAGTCAGAAACAGCTGGTCACTCACCTGGTGCTGAGAACCAGAACAGGAAAAAGGAAGAGCAAATACTGAGGCAAGATGAATTTCATATTACAAAGCGTGGCTGTTTCGTCCTCTGGAACTGCTCAGCACTCTTCCTCTCTCGATTCCTCTCTCTTTCTCACCAGCTCTCCGATTTCTGAAGTCCTCCCTCTGCAAAGAACCAGGTCCCGCGTGTGACAGTCGTAGATCTGAAAAAGCAGGCAGACCAACACACTGACTAATGAAGGCAGCGTAGAGTGGGGTTTGAGCTTCACGAATGATGTCACAGGCAACGGAGCTGCTGCTGTTACTGCTGCTGCTGCTGCTGCTGCTGCAAGTCTCATGCCTGATAGTCTGTGATTATTCAACACAGGGACTCTATTGATGTCCTGAAGGATTTGTTATAACTAGCAGTTTCAGTGGCAACAGCAGAGGGAAGTGAGTAGGCAGCAGATGCTGCTTAATGCTAAGGGCTCATCATAAAATTACCCTAAAAATCAAAATGTCTAATGGGTCTAGTGAAAGTTGGGTCATTTGCATGGAGATCAAGGGTGAAGACTTGTTTAAATGAACAGCTAAGTTTCAAACTCACCTCCTGCTTGGTGTAAGAGAAAGGCAGCTCTCCACTCACTATGAATAGGAAGTTATTGTACCAACTAAAATAACATTCCTTAGCAACTAGGAAACACTAAATGGTTTTTTTTAAAAAAAAAAAAAATCCCCAAAGTGAGTCCTTTCTCTAAAGACACAATTGTCATCATTAGGAACCTTTATAAAAGTCAACCCAAATGTAAGCTTTCTTTGGGTGTTATCCTGATAATTATTCTGTTTAAAGAAGCAACATTTGACATCAATTATTAAATTCTTGAGTGATGTCAAGAAGGTTTCTTGACATCACTCAAAATCCATTTGCCAATGAAAGTTAAAGTCCTGGATGTCCTTCACAGTCCCCAAACATAAATAAAACTCTACTCTTGGATCATAATAGGTTTCTACAATATACTTTGGGTATGTCAGAATTTAGACTTTAAAGCATATTGCAGTTTTATAAAATGAGGATAACTTGGTCTGAAAAGGAAATATTGTTGTGTAGCTCAGGATAAAAGAAAATTCAGTCGCCTGAATAGATAAATTGTTCATGCAGAAAGGCATAAATACACATTTAAAATGATTTGCTATATTACAGAGAGGCAAAATATCCAAGGCAAAAGCTTCCAGAAGATTAGATAAAGAACATTTGAAACCTATTAACTAGAGGCTTGCTAACGAGAAGCAAATTTCCTTTAAGTGCCAAATCCTCAAGTGAAAATTAATTGCGACACTCTGAAATGGCAAGATTTCCTTCCCATTAATAGAAATCATATAATGGATGTTGAAGTTTATACATTATATTGTATCACTAATGAATGACATTTTGTATTCAAGTCCAATTGAGGAAAATATATTCTGACCTAAGTGGTTTCCAAGGGTTCCTCTGTCCCTCTCTTCTTCTTTTTCTCCTTCCTTCCTTCCTTCCTTCCTTCCTTCCTTCCTTCCTTCCTTCCTTCTTTCCTTCCTTCCTTCCCACTGTGTTGGGCAGTGTAGGTTAAGGGGCGCACAGGGTTGTGTGAAAGGTGCTGTGAAGATAGGGGAGGGCATGCAAAGATGTGCATGAATGTCATGTAAGTCAGGGAGGAGATACAGGGAGCAGTATGCATGGAAGGAAGATGACAGAAGTCTATCGAGATTCACAAGAAGTGCTGCATGGGTCGGTGAAGATGTATGGGGACAGTGTGGCCTTGAAATGGTATGTGGTCATTCCTTCCTTCCTCCTTCCTTTTGTTTCCCTTCTCTTCCTAGCAGGCAGGTAAGTGGTTGCTGCCAGCTGGGGGAAGGACCAAAGGATTGCTCGAATGGCTGGAAAACTTTCACAGAATACTGAAAATCAAGACCCCATGACCACAGTAGCATGGCAGTAGTGCTGAAGCAGCTGCGGCCCAGCGGTGCTTAAGTCACCACAACTTTCCCAAATTTCATTCCCTCAGGAGTAATGAGTCGTGGCATTCTATAAGTTAGCTCACCTGAGGTCACTTTGTTGATAAGGTTTTGCCAGAAAGTTACAAAGTATCAATCAGAAGAGTTTTAGCAATATATTGGATTGTTTTTAATTCTGTAACTCAGCCAAAGTTGATGAATTGGGTAGATCTAGAAATATTAATTATAAATAATAAATAAACAAATAAATGCATTTATATCAAGGAACTCTTCTGACTGTTTAACTATCTAATCTCTCAGCAGGTTGGACACATTTTTAAACAGAATATTGGATTGCAGCAATTATTTTTGTGATTGTATTTATAGTTTCTATATAATGCCTCTTAGAAATAAACTTAAGACTGAAGGCTTGGAATATTTTTCATGAAGCCATCTTTGTATTTTTTTTTTTTCAGAAAGTAAAAGAATTGAAACTTTTCTTTAAAAGTAAAACCAAAGGAAGCACTTGTTGGCGTGTAGATTCCCCCATACTGGAGTTCTTAGTTGTAAATTATGAAACATTAATTGAAAAATATATGTTTGAAAGGATCAATATGCTCTCTCTCTCTTTCTCTCTCTCTCTCTCTCTTTCTCTCTCTCTCTCTCTCTCTCTCTCTTTCTTTCTTTCTTTCTTTCTTTTTTTCTTTCTTTCCCTTTTCCTAAACTTTAGATGGGCTGGATATGGAGAATTGAAGTGCTTCAGACTCTGATTATCTCTGACCTGCCTCAAGCCCAATGTCTTTTTCTGAGTTTTCTGAACAAAAGATTTCCCTATTGGGAAACATCAGCTGAAGAAGCATAGAGAGAGGTAGGGTGGTAGAAGCTGATGTTAGATTCTTGCTCCCAAGTTTGGAAATTTGACTCTGTCCTTAGAAAAAAAGCATCCAAATAGACTTAAATTTGTGCCCTTAGAATACTAGTTGTTTCTTCTCAAGCTTTCCCAGGTTTAAAGAAATATTTATTATCATTGGAGAAAATATAGGACAAAATGTTAATAAATAGATTACACAAACATTTTTTCCTTAAGCACAAAACTCATAATTCCGGTGATGTAACATTCAAATGTTCTCCACAACTTTGAATTTCCCTCCCAGAATAGCAACAGCTTTTGTAGATATAACTAAGTACATACAGTATTGATCAGACATTATTAACAAGCCAGTTTTTATCTATGACTATACAACTATAGTTAATTGTTTTTAAGTAATTTTTTTATTATATATTTTTAGATTTCCCAGACATTCTTAAAATACATGAGCTACACATAGGAAATATTGTTGTTGTTGTTAATTGCGAAGTCGTGTCCGACCCGTTGCGACCCCATGGACAATGTTCCTCTAGGTCTTCCTGTCCTCTACCATCTTCTAGAGTCCATTTAAATTCACACCTACTGCTTCAGTGACTCCATCCAGCCATCTCATTCTCTGTCGTCCCCTTCTTCTATTGCCCTCAATCTTTCCCAATATTAGGCTCTTCTCCAGTGAATCCTTCCTTCTCATTAGGTGGCCAAAGTACTTGAGTTTCAACTTCAGGATCTGGCCTTCTAAAGAGCAGTCGGGGTTGATCTCCTCTAGGACTGACCGGTTTGAACGCCTTGCAGTCCAAGGGACTCACAGGAGTCTTTTCCAGCACCACAGTTCAAAGGCCTCAATTCTTTTGCGCTCAGCCTTTCTTATGGTCCAACTTTCACAGCCATACATTGCAACTGGGAAAACCATGGCCTGGACTATACACACTTTATAGGAAATATACACAGCAGCAATGTTCAGCACAGTGTAAATTCTAAAGTAAGCTTAACAATTACAGTAAATACAGCTACTGATTATGTATTCTTATTTAATGGATCCTATAGAATCAGAATAGTAAGACTTCAGAGAAAGAGAAACCCAAATTTGGAGGTGTTGGAAGCTCAAATGTTGAATTATAGTTCAGAATTGGCTTCCAAGTTGAATTAAAAATTCTGTGTCAGATTTACTTCTGAGATATGAAGTTACTTAGACATTCAAGCATACTTCCACAACCGAATTAGCTATTCTTCCATGAATGGAATTATAACTCCTTTCATATAAGAAGCATAGCCAATTCCTGAAGCAGTAATCATGCACAATGGTATTTTAATATACTTTGAGAGAATATAATATTTAATAATATTTAATAAGAAAATATCAGATTGGGATGAAAATTCAGCTTTTTGAACTTATTGTTTCTTTCTATATTTTACAACACAGCCACTAAACAAACCAATAAAATCCAACAAATTTTAGAGATTGCATGTCCATTTTAGCAATTATTAAGATTTTTTTCAAATTCAATCAACTGACATAGTCTTTTCCCCAATTTTTGCTTTTCTTTTTTAAAAAACAAAAAAACAAAACAAGTTTTATTATTTTTTTCAATTTTTACAACAAGGTGCTTAGGAAGCAACGTGGTGAGCGGGTAATCAATTATCCAAAAAACCAAAACATTTATATATAACTCAGGTTAACTCGTTAAAGAATCCCTCTCTAACTCCTACAAATCATATACCATATTCAGATTAATACATTTCTAGTAAAATTCAATCAATCAATAAAATTATCAATAACCATTTAACTGTATAAATCCCAATCCTGTATTTAAGCTTTACAAGATTCTAGTTACTATATTTCACTTTAACCATATATAGGCCTAATATTTATGCTTCAGGTATCCCCAATTTCCCTCTTTTCATAACATAATAATTATAATATCTAAAAAGAATTTTTTTTTTTTGCTTTCCTCTGTGTGTGTTGCACTGCTCATTTGAAGATATTGACAACATTTGGTCATTTCTGGCCATTCTGAAGGAAATGTCTAAAAAGTTTTTATCTACCTCTTAACTGCTAATCAAGCTTTGTTGTCTATACAATTTCATTGAGTGAATTTTTACAATATTTAATATTGTACTGTATCAGCCAATTAAAGTGTTTTGCAGTCCATCTGGTAATTCTACTCTATCAATAGATGTAGCCAAGCCATAAGGTGATACGATACAATCTGTTATCCAAGTTATAAAGCTAGCTTGATAATACAGTTTGAAATTTGGAGGGCTGCCAGACAACTTCATCCTTTCAAATCCTGTAGTATCTTGAATTTAATCCATGGCTTTTATTGACTATATGTAAGTTTTTACTTGCTCTGCCAATCATTTAATACCTTAATTTTAATTTCTATTGGAATAGTTTGGAATACAAAATTAAGGCTTGGTAGAATATTAATGTTTATAGCTGCAATTCATCCTCACCAAGATAATTTCAGCTTTCTCCATTTTGAAATAGTTTTTTTTCAAATCTATGAATAATTATTTTTCAATGGG